CGTGTTGCCCGCCGAATCTTTCGCAGGCCAAACACAAAGTCCAGACTCATGGACTGCCGGCACCAAGTGGATACCGGTAAGCTGGCCAGCAGCGCAGCCGCATTTGGGGAGGGTTTTACCCGTTGACACGTCTCACACGTGCGCACTTAGGTGCTCGTCCATTTGTACAACTTGGGCTACCAATAGTGGTGACTCACAGAGTGGTACGTTTTCGGACGACCGAGATGACCACTGAGTGGCGTGTCGTAAGCCTCATAGAGGATGCGGCATTTCAAATCCTCATCATGAAGAACCACAATTCGTGGTGTAATCGTTGAATCGGTGCTATAATATAGCAAGCCATTTTTCAATGAATATTGGTGCAATCGTGCACGCAGTCTTGATGATAATTTCTTGTCCGAGTTTCCGAACTCCTTGCTCCCGAGAGCCTGTAGCAATGCTACACACATCCCATCACCCGCATACATGGTGCGGATCAAATTCATAACAGACGACGTTACAGTTGTAACATGAGCAAGCTCATAGTCTGGTCTGCGTGGCAATGCGTCAGCCAAAGCATACTACTTTCCCATCAAAGTCAAGGCTCCGAGGTCCACAGGGACCTTTGGGACCGTGACACGCGTCCCCGTCGCTAGACGAACAGTGACGATGTCACCCAACCGCGCTTTCAGCGCCTCAGCATACAGCTGACTTCCATCCATCGTGGAGCGTCGAGCATAATTGCCCAACGCCCCAGAATCGATGAGAATCTTTCATGGCTTCTCGAAGCCCTTTACGGTCGCCTCCACGACCAGTAAGCCCGGCTTGCACACACGTTCCGTGTTTAAGAGCACAGAGCTCTTCGGGGCTGGGCCCTGTTGACCTATGCCTTTCTGAGGCTCAACAGAACTCAGTTCTTCCCCAGTAAGTCGCCCCGCGCCTACTGAGTTGTGTCGTTTCCCCGCAACGAACCTGACTGCTAGGCGTTGAGCCGATGGTTCGAAGAATTTTGACGCGCCTTGCGCAGGGGACAACCGTTCCGAATGTGACGAGTGTCTCCACAGATAAAACACCTTCGAATATGCGTATGCTGCCCGGCAGCTTGGAGCTCTGCTCCCTCGTCCTCAGGATAGCTGAGATTCATGGGCATAGGCCCGCCCGACGATCTGTTAGAGTGTGCATTTCAACCAAGTCGTGCCGACTTGAAACTGAATTCTGCACTCAATGCCACATTCACCGCCTCTTCAAATGAGGACGGATGCACACGGAAGACTTCTATTCTGACCACGCCAGTGCGGAGGCCATCAATAAACACGGTCACTGTGACCGCCTCT